GAATCGATAGTATTGCCCGGCGGTAAAAGCTCATAATAAACGATGCCCTTCAAATCCGACCATATACACAGCATCACGTTATTGCGTGTTAATCCTGGTTTCACTACAGTCTGTGAAGCTTGATCATCCTTTGACCATGATAATTTTCGCACGTTCTTGTCGTAGGTCGCTTTTCATCACCAATCAATATTTTCAGAAATGGTTCGGTTTCATTACGTTTCAATACAGAATCACAAATGAGTAAACGATTCATTAGGTTTCTTTCAGTAAGCTCGTGTGCTCGAGCTTTTTTGTATAAGCAGACTTTTTCAAATAGGTCAAATGTATTTTGTCGTTAATGCTCAATTCCTCGGCTATGTCGTAACTACTAATGTGCCGATCTTGCTCCACTTTTTCAAAAATGGCATCGACTTTATTCGTGTGAGGGCGACCAGAGCGAGCTGCACCATTAGCATCAAAATTCCCGGAATGAAAACGCTTGAACCATCTTTTTGCTACTCTTACTGACACTGCATTAAGTCCACAAACATCATAATTGTTATAAATATTTTTATCGCGGCTTGAATCGCATTTTGTCCTGTTTTGTAATAAAACGTCAGAATGTATCGAATTTCTTCGTTAGATTCACTCATTTTGGAGGACAGAAAAACAATTTCATTTTTTTTACTTTCGTTTTTTTCTTTTTCTTAATGACCTATATGTATTGATATTAAAACCAGCCAGATATAAATACAAGTACAAGCAAAAAGAGATTTTTCTTCAATTTTATACAAATGAAATACGAAGAAACTTATCCCCGACCTATTATTATCCCGTATGTCGTAAAAGTTAATAGGCTGTAACAAGATGGGCGCTGCTTCCCATCTTATGTTCCATTATTATTATTATTGGCCTATTGGCTGATGAACCTTTATTTACATTGGAATATTGTTGATTGCTTTTATTGTTGCTTTTACATTAACTGTAGTGACTGTACTACATATGTTGCACAATATGGGTGTATTATAGTCACAAAGTCAAAAAGAAAAAATCCATGGCTAGTGTCAGTACACTAGCCATGGATGTTTTCTTTTCTCGTTCAATCTAATCTTAGTGCTGTTTACTAAAGAAATGTCAACAATGTTTTGAGGCAGCTCGTTCCATGAACAAAGAAAAACTATTCAAATAAGGTTACATAATACTGATGTGTTAGAACATACTACTTAGAACCATGTTATACTTGCACGTGGTAGTGGATGCAAATTAAATAATTTGCATAGGTCGGGTTATTATATTTTCCAATCACAATTTTAAGGTCTCTATTAATTCACCCTGGTGACAGTGTTCTCGTAACTTTATTAAGTTTGGTATTTCCAATCTCTCTTCATATGGTTTTCTGCGTTTGATAATAGCAGAGGGGGCAAACGAGTATGTGACTCATCTGATGGTAAGTGTCTACCGCCGCTCATGAACACCTCAATCGGGAAAACAATCAAGGGAATCACAAATGTATTGCTGGCCTTTTTAAAAAAGAGTAGGATCTTCTTGAAGGTCCCTAAGTCGTATCGGTCCGTAAAAATCTCTGGTGGTATTTGATTCCACAAGGAAGTTGTGCAAACTTCCTTGTGGAATCAAATACCACAAAAAAACTTCACAAAAGAAGAAAACTTCCTCTAAATCGCACAGTGGTGGACCGCCAATCATCCACATTGTATGGATGGTATCGCGAGTTTTGTTTCTCTAGTCGATCAATATCTTGTGACAATTTTTTTTTATAGAATAAGGGTGACAAACGAGCACACAGTCCACCTGATGGTAAAAGGTTGCTGCGGCTCATCTACATCTATTTGCGATTACGAATCAAAATGCAGTTGAGTTGTCACCCGTGAGGACTAAGATGCAATATCTCGTTTCCAGTAAAAAGGGTATTCCTATTTGAGAATAAACAATGACATACAAAGAAGGTAGTTGTAGTTGGTAACTGGTGTTTAATTGTGATAATTTCTTTTGTTTTTTGCAATAATAACCTCTTTGTATTTGACGTTTTTAATGATATTTTATCGTTACGAATTATTGCATGCATTTAATTATTGACTACACATAATGTTAATCATTTTAATTTTAATTTATTTATGTAGTTCTTCACGGAACTGCATTGTAAACCGGGCGTTATCGCTGGTACCAAGAGGACTGTTTTCTAGTTCTAAGAAATGCTATTTTTATACAAATAAGAGTGACAAAAAAGTAGTTCACCTGGGACGCAGTGGGCTATCGACACATTTTTGTAAAACTGAAGTAAAAAAACTAATTTACAATCTACCTGATGTTAAATGGCTACTGCAGTTCATGGACAACTTTTTTTTATAGAATAAGGGTGACAAACGAGCGCACAGTCCATCTGATCGTAAGTGTTTGCTGTGGCCCATAGACATCTACATCTATCTTCGTTTGCGAATTAAAATGCAGATGCGCTGTCAGCCGTGAGGACTAAGATAGAATGCCTCTTTTCCAATAAAAAGGGTCTTTTAGTTCTCTACACTCACCATACGTAATACAACAGCATTAAACTGCTATTTTACGCTGGTATTCTGTGTGAGCGTGGTCCTTCCCCGGTCGTGCCGATCCATTCGTGCTACAACTATACTATTAATATAGCTGCAGCATAAAATATGATAATACATAATTTTCTGGAGAAAAATCAATAATGATAATATATCTGTATATATATATTATAATAAAAATGCGGCTGCAAACCCACTTGCCATGCATTGCAACTATAGCAAATATCCTCTCAATGAGGCATCTATGGCCAATGTTTCGGAATGCCTTTTTGATGTATGGGCTGTAATGCATGGTCTGTGAGTAATAAAAAATACTTTTTATCTGAACATCATGGACAAAATTTTAAAATTCGTATAAGATTTTCAATGTTTCTTTGTTTTCAATAGTTATTCTTATAATTTATAATATATACAATATTATGATATTTATTTAAAATAGTTATGCTGTGTGTATTATTTATTGAAATTTCCCTACTATTAGTCCATAAAAGCTATAAAAGTAGAATTTTCATTCATTTTTACATTTTCACTTAAATTTTTAAAGCGACTTAAATTGAATAACATAACTTTACCTCACAGAGCACTGAATCGCCGGTGATTGGCAAAAAGAGCAGGCGTTGTGTTAAAAAATTTAAATACGACATATTGTTTTTTTTTTTTATAAGTCTTGGATTTTACATTTCGAGTGAATTTTATCTATCATCCGGATCCGGAATATGTAATGTAATGTAAGTATGAATATAAATGTATTATTAGACTATATACGAATTCACCATTCAACTTTGATTTTTGTAATGAGATGCGATAAGTTGCAGCTCGCTGCGGTATTGTCAATTTTTAATTATTATTAACACAAAAAGATAATACTATAAGATACGTTACGTTTTAAGCCGAAACATGTTCCAAATAAGATTTGGCTTATTCATGAAGTTTACCTAACAAAAATAAATTTTTCATTAACATGTTATGAGCTCGTTCCTGTTTCACTTTGAGTCCGTTTTAAGAGAACGTATTAATATTGTAGTGGCTAGGAACGGTTCAGCATACCTAATAGAGTATATGCTGCGGAGTATGCCAAAGTTAATCTATGGTTACATTGTGCACGTCAAATCAAATCTTACAAAACGTTTGAACGATATTGTTATTGCAATCAGTAAAACAGTTTTAAACATTTTAAGCTTGCTTAGAGTACTTAAAGGGCGTCTTAGTAATGTTAAAAGCTTTCCGTATTTTTTAAACAATAGTAATAATTAAAAAAATTAAAAATTTAATAATTATATATATAAAATAATTTAAAAATTTAAAAATAATTTTAAACAATAGTTAATATTTGTAGTGTGATTACATAACTAACATTTCTTTAATTTTTTCAATCTCTCTGTTGCCTAATGTTTGTTTTTCTATGTATTTTCTTCTGTGGCACTTGTTTTTTTGTTTTCTTCAAAGACTGTTGAAACTTGTTCCCTATTTTTTATCTTAAAGATAAGCGAGCGATGCCAAAAATGCCAAGACAACGTTGCTTTTTTTTAATGTTAACAATTCTTCCCATTTTTTCCGAAATGTGAGGTGTTTAAATAATATACCTCTACAAATCAGATTTATGTAAGTATTTCCTTATCTAAATTTTGTAGCCTAAGAATTTTGAAATAGTCCTCCATACTCCGTCCATAGAGTAATTTAAAGCACATACATATTTTATAAAATATGCAGTCTTACGCTAAAGCTGTAAATGAGCCCGCATAAGGGGAATGTCATTTTTTTGTTGTTTTAGGATTTTATAATGGAAAAGACCTTTCCAAATAAAGGGATTTCTTACCATACGCCCATCGGATTTTTTATTACATTCTATAAGACAAAGGGAGATTCAATTGAAAGCTCAGAATAACCATCTCAACAATAGAAATTCTTAAGAGATAAAGATTTTCTCATAACAGTCGTAAAGAAGGAACACAAAGAAAATTCGAAAAACAATAGGATGGAAATCGCATTTATTTCGTTACCAATGTGATCTCATTTCGAATACTGCAGATGAGGTTTATATAACAAGATTGGACCCAGTCCAAAAAGCCTACAAAAGTACTACAATTATATAATATCAAAATTTATTACATAATAACACAATTTCCCTCAGAAAAATAAATTTCCTATTTTAGTAGTAATAATAACAAATTTTAATAATCCTTATAAGCAATTAAATGTAACAAATCGATAGATGCAGTTAGTTCAGGATTTTGCTTTGTGGCAATTTTTGTAAAGGCCTACGAATATACTTATAAATGATTGCAATGGTGACGATGTAACAAATGCAATAAAAATTAACAGAACTTATATTCTTATATAATCTTTAACCTAATGGCCAATAGTATGTTCTAAATTGATATATATTCAAAAGACATACCATTTCAAAAGCCAATAATAAATAAATTATAAAAAGAAATAACAATAAAACTTAATACCCACCAAGTCCTCGTCATCATCGGAAAAGATATTTGCTCGGTCCTGTGTCGTCATGCCTCCGTATTATGCACCCAAAATACAAAACAATCCTTCATGGCTTACACACACAACACACAATGCTCCATCACTGAAAAACACACTTAAACTGCATCCAATCTCACCCTTGTAAATTTGCCCGTCCATTTGTATACATACTTGAAGGTAAACTAGGCGTTGTTGCTCAATCGATATTTGGTGACGAACATTAAAATCGATTGCATGAATAATAACTGGCTTATTAAAGAAAAATGAAAACCGAACTTCGAAACATGAATACGATGGCACTGTAATCGTTAGAAACGAAACGACTTTACAATTCGAAGTGAGGGAGCTTACTGCGGTGGAGGGCGGGCACCGTAGGCACTGCAGCGTCCCGTAACCATGGTAACGGGTAGATTTTTGCGATGTTGCGGAGGGAGCCTTTCTAATTCATTTAACAAAACGTCTGAAAATATTCTCAACATTTTTTATCTGAATGAAGAAGTAAATACTAAATACTTATTTAAAATAGGTAATTATTTTGTAGGTATTTATTTTATTTATTTTACTTATTTATAAGTCAAACATTGACCAACCAGACGATGAGAGGCTATAAAGCCCTTACTGCCAGAAAATGTTAAATCGCACTGTCTTAGCGTTACAAAAGTTGTAAGTGGACGGAAAAACAGACACTAACAAATTATTCAACTTATATGCTATACGCAATATGAAAGACGAAAATGTTTGGTTTGTATGCGTTGAATATCGACATCAAAGAACCGCCGACCGTCTAGTTATCAAATGGTGGAAACTAAATCATGTAATTCCTGCACACACTCCCCGAAGTGGATTTTATAGAATACTGCGAAGCTGGCTAAAAATCCGCACAGGTTCAGATCAGAGGTGGTAATTTTTAGACCTATCCGGTGAGAAATAATTGTGGTCATGAGCATAGTACTGAAGCCCTCCGATAAGGACTACATCACCAAAAAACCAGTAGCTGGAAAATGTCTTCCAACTTGGCACCGATGAAGGCACCGTAACTCCGTACTAACTTTGGCGAAATTAAAGGCTTCTCATAGTCCACATACACAAGACAAAGTAGCTGAATGTACTCTAAGGCTTTTTGTACAATTTTCCAAAGGAAATGTGATCTGTGATTCTAAATCGGCAAGGTAACCTCTCTTCTGCTCTACATTTCTGGAGTATTGTCACACAGTAGCTTCGTTGTCATACTGAGAACGAAATTGAAGAGCTTCTGAAGAACTTTAATTTTCCGATTTTTCACTCGTTATTGAAATTCGTCGTCTTTCAGAAACTCGTCTATAAGTCTATCCTTGTCCGGAGTCTTGCCGTTTTTAGGGTGCGGGAATGCCACTCTAATCTTGCTCAAACTGACCTCAGGGAAAATTATTTTTTATATATTACATGGGTACTAGAAATTAAATAAAACTTATCTTTCGGATTTAATCGCGTTTAATTTAACTTATTTTATCGCGACGACGGTAAAGCATCCGCAACGTCGGAAATCAAAATGAAGTAAAATTACTTTTCTTTAATGACCTCTGGAATATCATCATAATCTATTATCAGATCAGAAGTGCAAAGTGTACAGCTGTCCGTAGCATTTTTCAATTTGACTCAAAATCTCAGGTGTCCTGAAAATAAACCTTCTACAGTAGGTCTTCAACTTCGACAATTGGGTCTTTCAAGCAGACAGATCACAGCAAAAAAAATTTGATACCTTGATTAATCGCTTCTTCAATACGATATGTGTGAAGTTGCGTAAGTTACGACATACAATAGGATATCTCTCTGTTCAGTTGCCTGTATGCTGTCGTATGTTGAACAGCGAAGCTTAATTTCACGTCTAATAGCCATTAAAAGTAAGATCTGAGAGTTTTTTCGCGACAAGTCCTGCATAACTTAGCTCCAACAGTTTAAACGAGCTTGTTATTTATATCGTCAAACGTATTATAATTTTTTGGGTACTGAAAACGATTTTATAATTCGAGCTGAAAGGGTTCGGGTTTTCGGGTTAGAGCACAAAGGCGAATCGGATGTGACCACCTTAACTTAAAATTAAAGTTCAGTGTTGTTCACCGTGTTGTAGCGGTGTAAGTAAGTCTGTCAGTCTCGTAAGAGGCGACAGAGGGAAACAAATCATGAGATGGGCAGCAGCGTCTTCTTAATAATGACTGAAAATAAAAAAAAATTAAATACCCCAATTTCAAATTTTGATACACGTTTTTGGATCTAAATTTTAATATCATGTTTTATTAAAAAATGAATTTGCGTCGGAAATATTTTCACCGGACGGGAATCATTTCGACCGGACAAATCATTTGAAAGACTTCAAATGGCATTTATGGATAAAGCCACAGTGTACCGCTGGTAAAACTAATTTCAACACAGTCGAATAACTCTGAGAGATGAAAAAAAGAATTGGTCCCGCTTTGACGGCTGTTACGGAAGGTAATGTGCTACCAGTGAAAATTTTACAGTGTGAATTCTGATATTTTTTTAAATATAAAATCACATCATTTTCACCGTCTTTTCCACGTAATTTTACTACAAATTTTAAAAAATAATGATAAGGAACTGTAAGTAAAAAACTTCTAAAATCTCTACTGCTGAAAACATGCTGTGAATTGTTACAGTCTAAAAGGTGAATTTTAGTTCGTTTTCGAAGCTACCTATGTAGTTGATTTATGTTCGAACGTGCCGGTCACAGGTAATTACATATACACGAAGGTCCTAAAATATTAGGGTTGGACGTAAAATGAAATTTATATAAGTATAACCAATCTAAGTGCAAATCACTACAGGCTTACAACAAAGTCGGACTGTTACGACTATACTAATAATTAATATATGATAACATAAGATACGAGCACATAATAATTTTTATTTTGAACATTTATCTCTACTGACATTACATTATTATTATCTAAGGCTTGGTGTCTTAGAGAATGGGATAAGATATGCTTTGGAGTATTTTTACTAATTAAAATATATTTAGAAAACAACAATTTCAGTACTTTTTTTATTATAAAAACAATTAAGGAAATAATAGCGAAATTTTCACCCCTGGCCCCTGCATAACTTGACTAAATAGCATTTTTGATAAACGTATGACATACACGTGGTTTCGTGTTAAATTATTTCGTTTATTTAAATGATAATGGCACGATAACATGACATTCAACTTATGGAATTTAACTTTACCAAATCTTATTTTTTCATTCGAAACCGTGGTGACTGATACCGCAAATATTGCTCACTGAGTGTTTTAGCCGTGTAGTGGTGGTTTAAGAATATCCACTACCCCATATCGTGCCGTGGATCTCGTTCGAGGCGACAGAGCGAAACAAATCAGGAGATAGGCAACAGCAGTCTTCCTAATAACGAATAAAAATAAAAAACTGCGGTTGCCACCCCCTTGTCAAGTATTACAATTATGGCAAATATCCTATGAGGCAGTGTACAGAGGGAGCCTAGGTTCAGTAGTGAACTTTAATAGGCTGTTACGGTAACGGCGTGTTTTTTTAGCAAAGAAATTTAGACATTAGCTACACGCTTCAACATAAGATCATTTTGGAACAATTTTGGAAGATGTTTATATCTTCATAACTCTTCGTGGTAATGACCTTAGCTAAATTTTAGTTTCTACGGACTTATAACAACTGTAAGAATAGTGGTAATAACAGGTTCTTTGATTTTAATGCTTAAATCCTTAAAATATTTTTAGTAGTGCTCTTAAGGACGCGGTGTTAGAAATCTCATCAAGCGCACGAGTACAGATTGTAGCCGTATGTTTTAGTTAGCGCCCAATACTATTTTTAATGGATCGGTGATACATATTGTAACGAACCCCCCCCCCCCCTGTTTTCTTCTATATATACTTATACTTGTATTTCTTTAGAATCTATATCTATAAGATATATAAATATATCTAATTTACGTGACCAGTATATTAATTATACATTGATCTTTCTAAAGGTTTAAATATACATAGGCTGCACTAAAAGTATCGGGAATGGAATATTTCCAGTGTTCCTGTCATATTAAAATCTTTTTAATGGAAAAGACCTTGGTTTTAAAAATCAAATACCATTTATTTATTTAAAAAAAGATTCTCGGTCTTGTCACAAGGTTTTGTCAAACTTGTTTAGTCGTTGAGAAAATGGAATTGACGCGAGAAAATTCAAGAGCGATGATTTATTATGACTTTCGAAGTGGTTTAAAACAAAAACAGTGTGTTGACCGGATGATTTCTGCATTTGGTGATAAAGCCCCATCCAAAACCACAATTTATCGCTGGTTTGCTGAATTCCAACGTGGACGTGTCAAGCTCAGTGATGATCCCCGTCAAGGTCGTCCAAAAACTGCAGTCATCCAAGAAAACGTTGATACTGTGCGTAAGCTGATTGAGGAAGATCGACATGTGACATACCGCGAAATTCAGGCAACTTTAGACATTGGCATGAGTCAAATACAAATAATCTTGCTTGAACCATTAGGTCTAAAAAAGTTGTTTTCCCGATGGAAAAAAATGGTGGCCACGTTTGTCTCCAAAACCGGCCTTGTTACGACTATTCCTCTTGAGGAACAAAGAACGGTTAATGCAGAATGGTATGCTAGCATTTGTTTGCCACAGGGCGTTTCTGAACTCCGTAAAGAGAACTGCAACCGCCGCATCATCCTCCATCACGACAATGCGATTTCTCACACCGCACACAGGACAAAAGAGTTTTTAGAGCAAGAAAACATAGAATTATTAGACAATCCGCCGTACAGCCCCGACCTAAGCCCTAGTGATTTCTATACTTTCCCTAAAATAAAGAATAAATTGCGTGAACAGAGATTTTCATCACCTGAAGAAACTGTGGATGCCTACAAAACGGCCATTTTGGAGACCCCAACTTCCGAATGGAATGGTTGCTTCAATGATTGGTTCCATCGTATGGAAAAATGTGTCGAATTTCGCGGAGAATACTTCGAAAAGCAATAAATACATTTTTAAATAGTAATGT